TTTGATACTTTGATACAAAATACTTGCATCTATTTACTAGTATAATTACTATAATAACTATCAACAAAACCATTCAAATCAACTGTGAAAAGAATCCTTGTCGCCTATTTTTGCTCAAGAAAGTCGAGTAAATTCGACACAACCTATAAACAAGTCGAAGAAAAAGTATTTCAACCCAACTGAAGTTGTAAAATAGAAAATTCATAGAACAAATAAATCATATCCTCTCGATGTCCTTTGTCCCACAAACCACACAACCAACAACACCCCTCACCCCAGAGTCCCAACCCCAAAAACAACAAATTCAATATCAGGAATTCATTCAAGAACCCCCCGACGACGAAGAACAACACGAAAACTCCGATACGTTTCCCGCACTCTTGTGGTTGGTGATGGGGTTTGTGTGTTGTTGTTTCTGGCTCTTTGGGTATTGTACGTTAAAGAATTCCAATGACAACGGCGCACGGACAATTTCAATTCTTTCATTAGTCCTCTTCATATTAATGACCGTCTCTGTTACTCTTGCAATCATTGTCATTGCAATTTATATGATCATCGTCATTGTATTTTCTAGCTACGACGGTGACTTAAACCCACTTTATTGATTTGTTTGTAGCTTTGAACTTATTCATTCTAACTTGTATATTGACAAGTTAGAAAACTCCAAAACTTAGCCCCTTGAACTGTCTTTTAGTTAACTATTACTATTAAGTATAGTATAATTATTATTTGAAAATTAAATGGTACGTTTGTTGTGCTATTGGTATTCTTTCCATTTTGGGTATTTATTGGATCTAATAAGTTTTGATATTATTTTTATATTATTATAAAGATAGAGTAAATAATGACAAGAATAAATTGGGTGACAAATTAATTTTGAGTAAATTAATAATTCTTTTATAGAAATTGTTATTTTGTGAAAAAAATAAATAATGAATAAAAAACAAATCCCACTTTTTTACATCATTTAATTACTATTTTTTTTGTCACCCAATTTTTCTTCCATTTGTAATAAATAAAGAATTTCTTAGTATTCTAATAAAAATAAGATTTATTTTTATATTTTTTATTATAGTTGGTTTTTATAGTTTTACGTTAAAACTTTTAACACAGTGTAAATAAGATTAATTAGGTTTATTATTGTTAAATTTGTAAAATTGATTATCTTTAAAATAAAATATTTATTTTTCAGTTCATATAATTAAAAATAATAAAAAATGTTATGAAAAGTGTTTTAAATTTGAGTAATTCTTTATAGTTTTTTTATTATTTTCAATCGTAGTTTGTTATATAATAATAATAATAAATTATTAAATATAAGAAAAGAATGATTAAAAGAGTGATTGTATCAATTTGGTGAAATGATCTCTTCCCAAACTAAATTTGAGAAATTGAACTTTGACCTCATCCCTCAATATCGCATCTTTCATGAAAAACGATTTTTTGATTTGGTATTGTTCTTCCACACATTTTTTAAATTCACTTTTTTGCTCCTCACTCAACGAAACACTTTCGTTTTGGACAACTATATAATTTTTGCACGTCCTCACAAAGTCGTCTGTCTGGACAACGCACCTTGCGTTTTCCATAAAGTTGGTAATGTCATCTACAAAATAAAATGAGTGAGAGACATACGGTTTGTGACAAAACGAAAAATCAACCAACTCCACTCCCCCCTTTCTGCACCAAACTTCAACTTTCTTGTCAGTCAACAGAAACTCAAACAAAACGTAATTGCACACAATAATCTCACGATCCGCATCGGCTCGCAATAAGTTTTCTATTTTTCCCATACTAGTGAGAGAACCGGTACACGTCGACGGGTACGACACAAAAAAGCGGGCTATTTCCGGCCGGCTTTCAGCAGCAGACAACTCAAAATCTGGGAGAGATTGTGATTGTGGAACGACAGTATTGATAAGACCAGAAATTTGGGAAAAAAGAAAAGTGTTTGTAGAGTTCTTGGAGAGAAGGAAGGCAATATCCTTCTTTGTCTTTTGCGAATAACTGTACTGCAACATGTGGTTCAACACACCCAACAAAATTTCGTTATCTGAAAATACGGTGGTATCGTTCAAGAAGAGGAGTTCGAGTGTTGTTGAGAACTTTTGCATATCCAAAGTGGTAAGAAGTTCTTGGATACTTGATGCTGAAAGTTTGGAAAGTGAAACAGAGAGATCGCGAACGATAAAATCAAAATTTGTCAGTTGAGATATTGCGAGTTCTGACGATGTGATGAAAAAGTTAAGTTGTGATGAACGTGCCTCGCTGATGACGTCGTTTGTTTGAAGTGTGTTAAGAAAGTCACTCAAGAAAAACCCTGTGTTTTCGTTTACGTTGATCTCAAGAGATTTGCACGTCTGAAAAAGTGCGTCTTATTGTAAGTTTGTGATGTGTTTTAAGCCAAAAAAACACAAACATATCTCAATGTCTTCCGTGTCGACCCAGGTGAGATCCGTGGTTTTACAAAGTTTCTGATATTTTTCCATCGCAGCGACTGTTGCATACCAAGGCAGTCCAATTCTTTTCGAGATGCTTGCAATTTTAGCCTTATCCACTAGTAATTCCATTGTTTGTTTTTCATCGTTCTTTTATTTTGAGTTTCGACTTCATTAATAATGTTCTCTCATTCTTTTCAACCAGCTTTGTCGTTTTGAATAATAAATAAGTTATATAACTTGTTTGATGTCACTTTCTAAACAACATCACTTTCTTGTTTATTCACTTATTTTAACATTATTACTGATTTATTTTTGCACAAATTCAAAACAAAAGTTCAAAAAACAATGACTCTTTGACTAATAATTGTACTCCAAATCCGCGTTTCGGACAAGATCATCCGCAGCTCTCATGAGTCTCTTTGCGTTATTCTGTTTCGCTCTCTCTTCGAAAACATCAACTTCTACAGTTTGTCTTGTCGGCTCTGTCTTGCTCGTTTGCACTAATCTAACAACAGGTTTGCATTTCGCATCTTTGTAATGTTTCGGCAGGTCGAAATTGAGTGTTGTTTTGTCAAGCGCGAGTTTGTCCACATTGACCTTTTCAATTTTCACTTCCTTTTTCCCTTCTTCTGCGTTTTTGATCTTAAAAAGCGCAAGCTCGTCGAGGTGCTTTTTGCTCTTCCGAAGCTGTCTGTTTACTTTTTTGTCAAACTGTTTTTGGATCTCCTCTTTCTCCTTCGCAATTTTCTCAAGCGCAAGTTTTTTTTGTTTGATCTCTTCAGTTTCTTCATTTTGAATTCGTTTCCAAAGTGGAACTTTGTTTGGGTTCGTTGTCTGTATAATTTTACCATCAATTTCAATGTTTTGTGTTTCGTACCGGTTCTGCTTGTTATCAAGTTTAAAAACGAAATGTTACAAACAAACCGCAATTGTGTTTGTCACTTGCTGCCCCACGGTGATGACCAAAAACACAAAAAGAAGACTCAAAAATACCATTTTCAAATTATGATTTTTCAGTTTTTTAGATCATTTTTTATTATTTTTACAATTCAAAAATTTGACATTTTTTTGAGAACTTTAAGATTTTTTATTGTAAAAATAAAAAAGAAGTCAATTTTCTTTAAATAGTTTTGAAAAATACAAAAAACTATAAATCAGATTTATAGTTTCACAATATTTTTTCATTATTTTTTAGTAAAATTTTTTTTAATAATAAATCTTGTTATTTGAGTTAAAATATTTAACTCATTTTAATTTTTTTTGGTATTATCTAAAATGTTTTACAAATAAAATCAAATTTTTAAACTAGAATTTAATTAAATTATTAATAATATTTTTGAATATTTTGTGAAATTTTGTAATAATATTATAGTATAATTAAAATATAATACAGTCTGTCTTTAAACTGTATATAGTACCTTTTGGACCATAAAGATTAGAATATTTCGGGAAGCCATTTCAAAAATCCATCCCAATCGTTTCAGGTTTTTTCACGTTTTACCTAATGCCCGATGTTCAGACAAAATTTCAGCTATTTTGTGTTCACCAGATAACGTTAAAAGACTGACTCTAATTGTTTTACTATACAAAGACACATTAAATAAATGCCAAATAAATGACGATAATAATAATATTATTTCAATTTAATAACCAAATTATTGTTTTTTATATAACTTTGTAACTCATTAAAATACTTGATCTTTGTTCAATTGTTATTCTTATTATAAATAGTATAATAAAATACACATTATTATCAATATGTTAAATCTATAAATAACTCACTTCAATAAAAAAACGAAAACTACAGTAATCCGAACTTAAAATGTCAATAAAGTTTAATTTATTTATAGCAACAATAAATACATAAAACAGTTGAAAAAAAAGAACGAAAAAATGTTAAAACTAAAAAACATGTCCACCTTACCACTTCCAAAACGAAAGAGAAGTGAGAGGTTATACAGCTCCGAAGATTTTGATGATGAGAGAGTGCGGAGGACAATGTTTTCATCTTTTCATAAAATGAATCACCCAACAAATTTAAAATTTCCGTTGGCTGAGCAATTTCTAGTTGTAGGAACTCATAAAAACAACGACACTCCACAAATTTTATTTAAATTTCCAGACTACCAAATTCAAGATTTTTCAGAAACGATTTTAGTTGAATATTGTTTCCCAGATGTAGTGAAGAAAACGAAAGTACTTTTTAAAACTCAAGACAGTTTCAACGAAATATCCAAATCACTCAATTTATCTCACAAGAGTGTTGCGAATTATTTCACTTTATATTTTACGGGAACTCATTTGAAATCAAAACGATTTGCTCATTGTATAACAAAACAAAGATTGTTTTGTTGTGTTTGTTATAGTTTATTTTTAATACAATCAACTTATACAATTAACAAATAGAAAGTCGACGAACAAGATTCTTCATTTCGGTGTATTCAAGATGATATCGTTTTCGTTTTACTCACACAATCAGAGAAACACTCTCTCTCACTTTCTTTCATAGAATCTTTATTAGGTTTGTTTACTATTTCAATACAAATACTAATAATTATTTCAAATAGTATTATTTTAATATAAAATAGTAATACACAGACTTCCCAGAAATCAACGAGATGATGATGACTGATTTTTTGCCAACCGAGTCCCAGTCACATTTAGAACTCCATTTAACGGAATTTTTCAACCACACCAGTGATATTTCAATTCCGTTAAAACTTGATTGGAAGGACACGCCACTTCCGAACAAACAGTGTTTATTGTGTCAGTGTTTATTCCTCAACAAAATTCCAATCAAAGATTTAGTCATTTTAACCACAGCGACTTTATTAGAGAAAAAAGTGTTTATTTTGTCCCCTTATAGAGACTTAGTTTCCTCAACGCTTTCATTTTTGATTCAGTCGGTGTCTCCTTTTAAGTACGAATTTCCAGTCATTCCCGTGTTGACAAAGTCGACGTTTGATTTAATCGACTCTCCAACCCCTTTAGTCATTGGCCTAACAACAAACTGTTTTACTCAGACGGAACTCCCTGAAAATTCGGTGGTCTACAACATCACCACAAAACGATTTACTTACGCGGAGAAACTCATTTTGCCGAACTTCCCGAACTTCGATATTGTCTGTAATGACATCGAAAAGACTATTCAGCCACTGAAGAAGTTCATTCCACACAGTGTTGAAGAGTGTGCGGAGAAGCATTCCGAGGTCATAGTGTGGGCTATTCAGCGGATAGAAATGGAGATGCGGATCCTTTTAGTTGACTTTGAAGAGTATTGTATAACCAATCGGAGTGGTAAAGGTACAACAAGTTTGTTTATGGCCGATCAGTTCATCAGTGGGTTCAAGAAAGACTCCAACTTTGTCCAAGAAGTCGTGAAGACCCAGATGTTTGCTAATTGGGCGGGCGAGCAATTAGAGGAGATCGACGAGAAAAAGAGGGCGGCGGTGTTAAATAATAACTAATAGTATTTATTATTATATTGTATAGTACGAGAGAAAACTAATATAATTATAGTACTTTAATTATAAGAACTAATAACTTATTAATACGAACTCATTTAAACAGAACACACAAGAATGAAGAGAGGGAAATACTACTTAAGTCTTGATAAGGATGTTGTATTACCAATTTACTATACAACTAATAAAGAAATTAAAGAGAGTGAATTCCTTGATTTGGATAAAGCCGTTTCAAAGTATATCAAAGAGAATGTCAAATTGAATGATGTGTTTGAGTGTAATAAGACGGCATTTCTGACACTCCCTTGGTGCAAATGTTCTCTTACAACAAGAACAGAGAATGGTACTCTTTTTTTCGAGTCACATATCAGAAAGGTGGGGATAAGTGTTTATGTTGAACTCATTAAATCACAAGGTGATAATGTTACAAGTGATTCGGATGTCATAGATTTCACAGTCTTTGCCACTCAAGTACATTCTCCTGTTGAAGCTTCAAAATCAATTTATTTTAAATAAGTATTAAATAGTTATAATTGGTATTAAATAGTATCAAATAGTATTAATTGGTATTAATTAATTATAATTAATATTAAATTATTTTATATAGTTTTAAATGGTTTTAAAACACATTAAACATTTAATGTTTAATAGTAGTATTTAATATAGTATTAAACTTCAATACTATACTAAAATTGTATTAAAAGTAGATTAAATGTGTCCGTAGTTCACCTTCTTTCTATTGTTGAACCAATACAAAATGCCAAGAAGCAAAGCGGTGAGAATAGCCAACCCGATCAAGATGTATCCGAAGATGACCCAGAAGATTTTTGACAACAAGAATCCTGACGGGACAATCAGTGGTGTTTCGTCCTTAATGAAAGTCATCTTAACGTGGACAATTCCCTTAGCTGTCGAGTCTGCGCCGACAAAGATTAATAATTCCTCTCCTTTCTCAATAGCATTCAGTCTGAAATGAGTTCCCCTTTGTCCATATGGATCAGTAGTATGGTCATAGATCCCAACAGCACCTTGTGGTCTATTGACCTCTTCGATCACAACACAAATAGGTTCTCTGAACAACACGAGTGTCGCAGAGACTTCGGACAAGTCGTCGACTAAGACAATCAAGTCGCCATCTGATGGAGCAGTGACTCTGTAATATCCACCGGCTTTAGAATGGTCCTCGCCATTCATTGTAATCACCGAACTCGCTGCTTTGGAGACGTACATGAAGTTCTCATATGGATAGTTCTTCACAATAAATGCGTCGGTGCAGTTAGTGTTAGCTGGGGAGTCATCCGTATACATAGACATACGATATGTCCCAAACTTAGCAGCATCTTCTGGGTCGGAAATGACGACTGGGTAGTACTGCGTCGCTCCTCGACC